ACTTCAAATCGCTTACGTCCCCTAGCAGTCAAATAGCTTCTTAAGTCTTCCCATGCAGGCCGTAACCTCACAAGAACACTGGTATCACGAATCTGAAATGAAAATACGACTTTAGAATGACAAAATATTTCCTTGAGTCATTACGGTGGATAGGTTCATCCCAGTCATTATCTCTGTGAATCTCATATCATATCAGTTTTCTTGTGTTCGTTTTTTTAAAATTTCAACAACATGAGGAGGTAGGGATTCAAACCTCTACTTATGCCTTCACCACTTGAGCAACACATCCCATGATTCATTGAAAAGACTATGTCCACATGTTCTTCCTAACTATTTAAGTTAGGTACCCGATGTTAAAGGTTAAAGCATGTATGCGTTTTGCCTATTCAAAAAAGAAAAAGGACGCAAAGACGAAACAGGCTACAGATACGTATCCTCCAACTGTTCGGAGATTTGAGCTAGATGTCCTCTATTCAGATTGCTTCCAAGATAACTAATCATTATTTAGAATCAAAATTTGTCAGTTCTATTCTTCTCATCTTAAATCAGTATATATTGAAATGCAATGCCAAAATGGATCAAAAAATAATAATTACGTTTATAGAAAAGGGGAGGAAATGAAAACAATAACAATAACGATAATAGATAGGAACTATTGGCCCAACACGAGAATAGAGCCAACCTCTGGATTGATGCGAGTAAGAACAATATTCTTGTCCAGCAATCTAATTATAGGACGAACTACTTTCTCGCAGGTCCCATTTAGAGGAGGAACCTCCTCCAGCTGCACCTTATAAATCCTCCCATTATCATTTACAGTATCGTTCTCAATATACTGTTTTAGCAGCAACCGATCTTCCAGGTACCGCCTGAGTTCAGCTGACATTCCAGATACACGCAAGGGATCTGTTTCCCGCGTAAGCCAGACTCGAAGAGCTTCAATTCTATCTTCAAAAGATTTCATAGTGTTTGCTACAATAAGCGTTTCGTCTAGATCAAAAACAATCGCAAGACACCTGAGATTTAGCATTCCTAAACAGGATACATATAGACCACAGGGCACCGCAAAACACCAAAAGCACGGAAAATTCTTCTGCTTGCTCGGCATTGCAACCAGGTGAATTTCTTCGTCCCCAACCATCACAATTGCTGTCTGTAAGTTCAGACGAGAACATCAGAATCCAAATTACGAACTAACTTCACTCTCATACGTCCTCTACTCCAAATTCACAGTTTCATCATTTAAAAGAAATCAACAGAACCAGAAATCAGTATTCACATCACACATGCACTTTCATACATATATTTCCTCTCAGAATCAAAACAAAACATTCAAAAAGGGGAAAAAAATCAAGAAAGTGACTTGACCTTCAATTCATGGAAGCAGGAGTAATGAAGCTGGATCAAGTGAGGCTGTTCAACAGGTAAGGAAGATTGGAGCTTACACCTGAGAGAAAATGAAGAAATTGTCTGAAGAACTGAAAGGGGAGGGCATCTCTCACTGGGCGGCGATATGCGGTGGATTCTAATCTCGTTGTTCGGAAACTGAAAATCCTGGTCCGTCGCCGGAATAGCGTCGAGTTCCCCAAGACGCACGTCGCCATGATAGACCACCGATTTGAACCCTAACCGGCTCATTCCAACACAAATTAAGGAAAACGTGCAAAGAAATCAGAAAGAGAAGAGGAGAGAAAAATGTGTGAGAAATTGTTAGAAAGAGTGGTTGAACATGGAGTTTCTCTGTCTCTTCTTATTACTCTTCTCGTCAGTCTCTCTCTCTCTCTCTCTATCTCAGCCCCACCACCAGTCTCTCTTCCGCTCTTTCTCTCTCTCCTCCCAGTTTTCTCTCTTCGTGGCCTCAGCCCTTTGGTTTCAAACAAATGAGAAAATCGGTAGCGGGTTCGTATTTATAGGCGCCACGGTCCAGCTCGTATTTGTAAGTTGTTAGGGAATGTGGAAATTACGACAATGACTACCCTTCCTTCTCCTGCCCGGCCACAGTAAGGACTTCCTATTTTTGTTGTTTTTCTTAAATTAAAATACTAAAAAAAATTTGAAAAAAATAAAAGAATTTAGACTTTATTTCAAATATATATTTGACTTAAAAAAAAAATTAATACCCTTTAATTTTTAAAAAAGTTCTAAGGCAAGTAGCGGGCTATCCAACCCTGTTTCCAATCTGAGAAAAGACTTGTCCAAACTCGAGTACCAAGCTACTATTTTCTAGATATCGAGCATACTGTTTTTTGGACAAATAATGGACCTACGGAGCATTAAACTCTTTAAAACTTGTTCATACAAGTTACGCGGAGATTACCCATATATTTTGTAGAATGGATCTGTTAGAAAGTTTTATTTTTAATGGTATAAAGTTTGTAAGGGCCAAAAGGTCAATTTGACTTCGTCTTTTGTCTTTGGTGAAGATTAGAGGGGATCAGGATTAAATCTTAGCCACAAACATCGGGAGACTATAAATACCCATAATATGTTAGGTAAAAATTAGATTGGTGGATGAATGTAATTCATCTCAAATTGAGACGTCATCATCTTTGCCATTTATAAGTTTGAAGCAATTCTTGTGGTAGAATTGCATCCGAGTCATTCAATCAAGTCTTAATCAAGTTCGATTGTTGAGTGACTCAATTTAGGAGAAAGTTTCCAAATCTTGCTCCTAGATCTTCGATCGTAAGAGATAATTTAATTCTAGTATTATCTCTTGGTTGATCCGAATTTTGTACAAGCATGTGTTAATTACTTGAATTCACGGGTTCTTGCTTCAACAAAAGTTTGGATCGTTGGGCTAAAGATTAGAGTTGCCTTATTATTTACCTAATTTAGTTCTCGAGGGTGAGCGTAGGTAAAAATTGGAATTTCAATTCGAGGCTTAAAAAACTAAATTCTTCCACAAAAACTAAACCGAAGTGAAATGAATTTTGTTGTGCCTATTTAGGATTTAAACCAATGATAAAGGTTAAAATGACGAAAATGTCCCTATTAGACATTCTGTTATGTTTATGCCTCAGATGAACTCCAAACAACGTGAAATTTTACATAATATCTAATTATGAGACTTGGGATACAAAATTTATATGCATGTTTTGAAATAGGGCAATCAAGAACAATATAGAGCGTCGTGTGCTGAGGTTGTGCACTTAATTTTTGTTATGACGGATCTTCTAGAACCAGAACTATTAACGTAAGACTTGTGTATTAGCTCTAACGTTATAGCCAAAGACTGCCACCACATCCACCCTTCCTTCTGTATCAAACCTTCTCTCGCTACCTCTTGCTCTTTTCTTAGAATAGAATCGTCGCTCTAGTTCTATAACCTCTATCTCCCGTCTCTATAGTCCACACTCCATGGTTGTTTCTCAACACGTGGTTGTTGATGATTCTCCTTTATCTGATTCTATTCTCTATCGATCTTTTGTTGGTGCTTTTTATGTACTTGACCATTATGCTAAAAAGTGCATTTCTATATTAAAAAAATGGATATGGAAAAATAAAAGGCGTCCGGCAGCATTGAAAGATTTTTTTGCCATCATAATCTATTTAAACCACGAAGTCACAATTTTTTTTTTTTTTAAAAATCAAATAAATAATAAAAGATCAGAAGAATTTGAATCCTTTTTACTTAAAAAAAAGAAAAAAAAAAGAAAAAAAAAATCTAGTTTGTTTATAATTTTCATTATTTAAATAAGATTTTTTTTATATTATAAAAAATTATTATTATATATTATTATATAAATAATAAATAATTGAATAATGTAATGTAAATTTATTTAAAAAAAATTATCACTAATATATATATATATATTCAAATAAATTTATTTTAAAAACTTATTGGAATTTCCTAATGTTTTGAACAACAAATAGGTTGAATTCCAGAAAAAGGCACATGATCTTAACGGATAAGGATCATATTGTTCCTAATAAACAAGTATTCATTCTTCATTTACAAAATTGGATAGGCTCGGTTCAACCATTGTTTCATGTGTTACAGGCTGATTCGATTAAGAAAAAACCATTTGGAGCTTTAGAATTGAATATTTGCACGTTAGTAATGAATTAAGTTGTTATAAATTGCACTGGATTGATAAGTTGCACGATTAGTGTTCTTACCTTAAACTGCATAAAATTGCAAACAAACTTAGCACTCGACTAAATGAAAGGTAAGATTACTCAAAGGAATCACTCTAAGGGAAAGTAAGATTTAAATTAACTTATGGATCAAAATCTAAGACTGAAACATTTATTTGAGATTCGAATCACTCCATAAGTAAAATTGATCATATCAAGTTTTAATGATTCTAAACATGCCATCTAAACTAAACTAAGTAGAATCGTAAATAAATTTAGCCAAAAAAAAAAAAAATCACACAAAGTTAAAATCCTTACCTTTCTTGAAACTTTTGAAATTTTTTGAGGCGGTAACTTTTCTATTTTATGATTAAAAAAATGGATAAAAAAATGGAAGAAACGCGGTAACTTTATGTTTGATTTTGGTAAAAGTCAGAAAATATATTTTATTCCTTTGTGTTTGATTTTTACGCGTTCTTTCGGAAGAAAAAAAAATTTTAAAAAAAATTTTAAAAAAAATTGTCCATTCTTATCAAGAAAAAAATAAAGAAAATGATAAATTAGGATATTGGCCAAATTATATAAAGCAAGTCCTTTTACTATTCATAATTAAGTGTTCGGTAAAAATAAAAATAAATAAAGTAATTAAATTATAAATTTGGTTTTTACAAATTTTTAATTAAAAAATTGAATTTTAATGCTTTTAAAAGTGAAAATTTGTTATGATTTGATAAAATTATTTATATAATTTTTTTTTTTATATTATAGTTTTATTTAGTCCTAAAACTAAATTATAAATTTATTAAAGTTAATAGACATCAAATTTGAAATTTAAGAATAAATAATAATAATAATAAATATATATTTTTTAAAGGACTGGCTGGTCGCTGTAGCGGGAGATTAACGCCGTTAAGTCATTTTTTTCCTTCGCTTCTTGTAATAACGACTGGAAACGGTCGACTTGCAGAGAGAAAGATTCGCGCGGTTGACTGTTGCCGGCCGCCGGAGGGAGAAACAGAAAACGCCAACGCCATGTCAACCATTGCCGGAACTCCTCCGTTCGACGACGACGACGCCATCGGATTCGAATCTGGCCTCTCTTCTCATCGATTCGAATCCTCTACTAGCTTCGAAGCCGAGTCCGCTGCTGCCGATTCGACCGGCGACTCGCCACTGATCTTCGGGAACCAGTCGTATAACCAGGGAGACGACGTTCCGCCGACTCCGCCTACGAATTTCTCGGCCGGTGGAGGACTCTCGAGTTTGTCGCCTGAGCAGAACAGCGAGGGCTTCGATGGAGGTTTTGGCGAATCGGACCGCCCGATCCTCTCCTCTCCGACGGTGATGGAACCGGAGGAAGGATTTCCTTTAAGAGAATGGCGCAGGTGAGAAATAGTTTGAAATTGTTCGCGATTTGAAGATTTTCGTAAGTTTTTTAGGTCAATCTGTGAATTAGAGAGCCATCGGCATCGTCGAGTTGCATGTTCTCTGAGATTAAATCCCCTGCGAACTGAACTGCAATTTTGCAAGTAATTCTGTTCTTATTGTTACTCGTATTTTCTCTTTTTTTGGTAAATTTAAGCTGTGAATGGCAGATTGAATGCGATTCGATTGGAAGAAAAGGAGAAGATGGAGAAGGAGCTTTTGCAAGACATAATTGATGAGGCTGATGAGTACAAAATTGACTTCTACAGAAGGCAAAAGATTGCTCTAGATAATAGAAAAGCTTCAAATCGGGATAAGGAGAAGGTGAATTTGCTATAATCCTACAACTTGGTTAAATTTCTCCCCATTCTTATAATGAAAACTGTTCTTGTTCTTCTTTAACATAGAATCAAACAAAAACTAGTATCATTTTGTGGGATGTTGAATCCATTTGGCTTCTGAATCTATGATGGATTTTGTGGAATGTTGTTTGTAGGAATTTGAGCCCAAAACTTGCTATCACAACATCATATTAGAATCACTAATTAGGTGTATATTCACATCATTGTGTGAGATTTTACTGTGTGAAATACATTTACATGCCCAACAGGGGTTGAGGAACAATATTCTCGACCACGAGTTCAACGGTTCAAATCCTAAAGTCACTCGTTGTTGAACAAGATTTTGTTGTTGTAACAGCTCAACTATGATTACTTTTTCTGTGTGTGTTTAGTGCATATAGAATGAAAAACATTTACAAAATCCCCATTCATCCATGTTTCTTGAATCCTAACTCAGATTTGAACATCATATGGCAGCAATATGTAGCAAACCGAGATCGGTTCCACGCCGAAGCTGAGAAGAACTATTGGAAGGCAATTGCAGAACTAATCCCCAATGAGGTTGCAGCCATAGAACAAAGGGGGAAGAAAGACAAGGAGAAGAAGCCTCCTGGTATTGTTGTTATTCAGGGTCCCAAGCCCGGAAAACCGACCGATCTCTCGAGAATGCGCCAAATACATTTGAAGCTCAAACATAACACCCCAGTTCACATGAAGCCTAAAGCAGACCCTGAAAGGGACTCTTCCGCTGCTGGCGCAACGTCGACTGCTAAGTCGGTTTCTGCAGCTTCAACAAAGACTGCTGCTGTTGCAACTTCTGAAGGTACAACTGCTGCTTGAAATTAGATATCATACTCCCTGTTATGTATGTTCAAGAACAAGTAGCTACCTCTCATGGATCTTGATGTCTAGTAACGGTCAGTCATATATAGTCAATAAAGCACATCAGAAATGTAGCGATCTTTGTAGGTAGAGACACAAAAGGCTTCGAAAATCATAATCCGTGCACGAATATTGCTTAGTTTTTCTCTTGTTCAGTGAATATATATATATATATATATATATAGTGTTTCTATGCTATACAACCAATGGAGCCTAGATAATTTTTGGTGTGTACTACAAAATTTGTTTATTTTTATTTTTTTTAATTATAAATCATATTTGTTTCCTAGTTTGAACGAAACCAAAATTTGAAAGAAAAAAAAAAGTTAATAATTTTTTGGGCTTTCAGTAGATTTTTTAAAATCCAAATTGTTCGATTCTCGAGTCATCCATTTTTTTTTAATTCCTCTAGTGTTTTGAGTTTAGTTTCGATTTGATTATTATCATTTCAGAAATTGCATTAGGTATTATATTAAGACGAATAAATTAGAGTTTAAATCGAAGGAACGAGATGATTTTTTGAGTAAAAGAAAAAAAAAAACAAATGTAGATTTTACTATATGTTTAATTATAGTCGAGAAAGTTAGGTGAATTTAAATAAAATATTCATTTGCTTCATATTTAAAATATGAAACATGTGAGCTGTCCGCTATGATTTTTTTTTTGTTATTTTTTTTTGTAAATGAATTTTTTTTGCTATTAGCCAGATTTGTGAATAAGTGATTGTCTGATGATAACGAGCGAAGAATGTCTGTCTTTGTATTTTTATTAAGAATTTATATATATATATATTTTTTGCAAGAAAGATGAGATCCAAAATAAAGAAAATAAAGAAATGGTGAGAAAAACAAACTTTTTTTTTTTGGGTAAAAACAATAAAAAAAAATCAACAAGTTATCCAATTAAAAAAGATTGCTTCTTATTTAAATTGGACTAGATTTTGGTTTTAAAAAATGGAAAAATAGCCACAAAAAAGAAAAATACAAAATTTATCTTTGTTGAGCAATTTATATATATATATATATAGCATTTTTGTTCAAGACTATAATAAATTAAGAATGTTTCTTGAGAAATGAGAACCTAAAAATAGAGAATGTTAATAGAATCAATTTTCAAATAAAAACAAAATTATTAACAGAAAGTTAATTTGTTGGGTAACTGAAGCCATAATTGATAACATGGAGATTCCTACACAACACAGCAACAAATTTCATATGAAGGAGCTCTTCAAATTCCAAATCTTAAAATACAATTTCTTTTTCTTCACAACACTCTGATAACTCATAGAATTATCGGACAATTACTATAAATTCTAACACTACTGATAGATTTTACATCGCTAATATGTATTTGCTTCCCTACAACCTCCTCCCTTAGAATGGATCCATGAGTTATATAAACTGCTAAAAAAACTTGCAGCCGAGAACGAACCTGGTAATGTTGCCTACATAGCTCGCCAGGAGAGGATTCCCTACGACGACAATGTCTCGGTGGCAATGTCGGTATCTTCAGTTTCACTGCCCTCCAGACGAATGGAACTACCCCATGCGCTCTGAGCAGAACTGCCATTGCTGCTTGTAGCAAGGGGAGAGTCTGAAACTCCAATCGTTCCGACTTTTGCAGACCTCGAACTGCCACTGTCGATGGAGGAGGCCTGAGTTTTTGTAACCACTGGACGTACTTTACCAGAAATGCTAAGTGTTATATCCTGTAAAAGAAGAAAAGTCCACATCAGGTGCTGCCATGTTATGTTGAACAAAGATCATGTTTATCTATGGTAGTAATTAACCATCATGGAAGAGAGGAGAGGCATACCATGTGCCTCAAAGCCATATCTAGTGATTTGTTAGAAAGTGTCCTTCCGAAGCCAGTGGCGTCAATAGACGACTTGCTGGAAGGATCACCACTGCTCGAGCGGTAGCTGCCTTGCTTCGGAGGGGCGAGCTTCCTCATGTTTACTACCCTTTCAACCATCTTTGTTCCCATGACCACCGGGCTAACCTCATTTTCATCAGAGGAACGTATTCTCGGCTTGAATGGAAATACTTTGCCACTGTTGTATGCACTACTTCTGTTTGAGGCAAGTTGCTTCGAAGGAGAGCTTGGTTTCTGCCGAGTTTTCCCATTTGACATAGCCCTAAGGGATGATGATTTAGCACTACTGGCTGCAACTGGCCTTCCCCTTGTGGCTGAAGCTGGCCTTTCTGATAATGGACGTGCAGCTTCATCAAGTGGGAAATTTAGCACCTCAGAGGGTTTTGAAGGTCTGGTCATAATCAATGGAAAGGTGCCCCTCGAAGGTCTTGGATTACTAGAGCTTCTAGCATTAAACTTCGAGGTCGAAGATGATCGTTCATTAGGACGTGAAGTGATAGACGAACATGTTGGATTTGATGGACAACGATTAGGCGTTGCTGACCTTGATATTTTCTTTGTAGTCGACACGGATCTTTCAGACGGTGTTGACGACCGAGCAGTGGTTTTCGCCGTCGTCGAAGGTCTCACCGGAGGGACTGAAGCTTTAACATTGACTCGTAAAGTTGGCGTGGCTGATCTTGTAGGCTTTGTACTTTTAGTTAAAGTAGGCCGTGAAGTTGGTGTCGCAGATCTGGAAGCAGTAGCTGCAGAAGCCTTTGATGAGGGCTTTCTATTGCTAGCACATGAAGAATTCAGTTGTCCAGATTGCAAATTCGCTATGTTACTCACCGAGTTAGACTCTTCCTGGATGTTTACAAGCTGCAACCCCAAAAGGTGCAAGGCTAATCAAATACAGATGGGGAATATTGAGTTTGAATAATTTCAAATTCAACAGTTTTGATTGGAAAGTATACAATTTGCAGTTATTCAAACGGTTAATCAAACTTGTTGAGAGCTCTTACCCTCGGTTTCAGAGCAGTGGAACGAGAATTCAGCATATCATTCTTACTTGTAGGATTTTTTTCTGATTCCGACTCCATTGATGAAAACAGTGGGGTGCCAGGTGGTGTAAGGAGCCTGAGAAACAAAAGAGAGTACAATGAATAGTGAATTTGATAACAAAGTAACACTTTTTAAAAGTATGAACTCAAATAATGGATCAGCATCCAAATTGATAATAATTATGCCCATATCAACAATAATAACCAAATATTTACCACATCTACAACAACATCATTACATGGCTCTATTCATGTTCTAAGACATTCAAAAATTGCTACTGAAGTGTTTCAGGGCAGGGGATGGTCCTTGTTCCTTGGTCCTTGAATGATGATATCAATATGGATATAAAGGAGAAAGTTAAGGCAGGTTTGGGTGCTAATAATCTAAAAATAAAACTCCCAAAACAAGGGATTCAATGAAAATAGTGAAGAAATTCAAATATCACTTTCTTGATTTGAAAACGTTCAAGGTTTTTTTAAAAAAACAAAGCGGTTGATGAAATCGATTTTGTGAAAACCTTTGAATAAAGTTAAAGGGAAGGGGGAAGTACACAGTATAACAGAGCTTTGTTTTATTCTACGATAAAGGAAGAAAGGGGAATGAATGATAACGTTGAGGAACAAAATGACTTTCACGAGTCATCTTTTGTCTTTTCAAATATATCATTCCGCTTTAACGGGTAAAATAAAAGGGAATCTCGCTGACAAAGACGACGTATTGGAACCCCATGTAGATGAAGAAAACAAGAACCAGGCGCGTTGTTTAGGTTCGAGTAGGACCAGAAAACTCAGTGAGGTACTGTTTACATCCTAGTGCTACATGAATTCTTGAAATTATTTGAAAAAGCATCCGTTGATGAACAGCATTCGACCCCACTGTACCAGTCAATGCTACTCTTAAATTGGATATTTCATGGTTCGTATTCAAAATTCATGTACAGCAAATTGAAAAGAAAAGCCGATTCATCACTGAGATATGAGTTGCTACAAGTATGAAATCAGAGAAAATGTGATTTACTTACCATTCGTACTCAGATTTTTCATTTTCTGAATCCATAAAATCCTCCGCTCTGATCTTCCGCGGTGGAACGGGTGATACAACATTCTTGGAGACGGGTGAACAAACACCATTATTGTTAGGTTCTGCAGTTTACGAATCAGAAAAGGCCAAAAAAAGAATGAGTCAAAATCTTCTAAAAAAGCTGATCGATAATAAACTTGGAAATTTCTAAAAAGTGTAGGAAGAAAAAATGACGGACCGGAACTGGAAAACGAAACGGTTTCTGAATTAGGATCAAGATCCTCCGAATAGCTCCGATGTAGCAGAGTCTGACTATCCATCTCCTTCTCAATCGTTCGCATATCGAGCAACATTGCAAGCTCTCCCTCCGTCCCGTTCGTGAACATTCCAGAAATTCTAACTAAAAGAAACAAAGCACGATTCCGCCGGTCCTTTCTCTCAATCTCAGGTCCGAATCTGAGTATTGATCATAAATCTTCCGTTAAGAAGAACAACACAAAACCGCAGGTATAAAAAACAATCCTCAGTCCTCAGTCCTCTCCTCAACATTGACGAGACCAACAGATCCAACGAAAAATCAACAAACCGAATACAAGAAGCTTAACCACAAGCATATACTAATTACTTAACATGAATCATAGCAATCAAATAATAAGGATTACCATTTATCAGCGCCGGTGATGCTCCGGTGGGGCTTGAATCGGAAGATTGCGTCGGCGTGGAGCAGTGAAGATCGAGAAAACGGGAATGGAGAGATGAAGTGAATCTTGTTTGCTTTGGATTCTCTCTGTTTGTCAAAGTATTTGCAGTATTTCACTATCTCAGCACTCCGCGGCTTCGCCCCATGTGGCCGTTCAGATTTTTTCAAAATAATTATTCAAATGGAAATAAATAAATAGTCTGATTTCGAATTATTTGGTTGCGCCTACGTGGAACCCTAATAATAATATTAATAATATCATAAATGATCTCATAGTTTGAAACAAGGAATAATAATAATAATAATAATAATAATAATAATAATATTTCCTAAGCTTCTCAATTTTTTCCAAATTTGAATTTTTAAAAAATTTCCCATTTTTTATTTATGTAAATTTACAAATTAATCATAATTAAATTAGTTAATGAAGATTAATGAATTTGTTGGGACAAAAATTTGGAGTTGAAGTAGAAATATTGAAATTTTGAAGAAGTAAATTATTG